AGTACGGACGTGAAACAAAGACATAAACGTATGTGGTGAAGCACAGAGTGAGTTGACTTTGACTTCTGGTAACATAGGAACCTTCTCTCTCTCTCCTGTCTCTTATACACATCTAGATGTGTATAAGAGACAGCTCTCTCTCTCTCGCGGAACTAAAAACGAAAACTTCGTTGGCATCGATTGGGGAAAAAAGGAAAGACCAAATTCACTCTCTAGGTCGGGCGCGAAGAAGAGAGAAAGGAGGGACGGAGTGCAGAGGGCTTAGGGAGGAAGGAGGGCGGGAAGGCAGAGGGCTTAGGGAGGGAGGGAGGAGGGAGGAGGAAAGGCCATCGGAGGAAGGAGGGAGGGCCGATAGAAGCTCGAGGAGGAAGGAGGGAGGGAGGAAGGAGGAGGAAGACAATGGGAGTCAGGTGTGAGGGAGGAGAGAGGGTCGAGGATGAAGGGCGAAGGGAGGGAGGAGGGAGGGCCGAGGGAGGAGGAATGGCCCAAGGAGGGTGAGAGGATGGAGGGCCGAGGGAGGAGAGAGAGAGGACGGAGGGAAGAGGGAAGGAGGAGCTCAATCCGAGAATGGAAGGGGAGGGCGGACGGAGGGGCGGAGCGAAGGAGGTGGTCAAGCAGAGATCAGGTGGAGGGAAGAAGAGAGAGGAGTTCAGAGAAATGGAGACTCACTTGACTCAGTGATGCCGACAATGCCTCCAGCCGACAGTGATCAATCAACATGGCCCAAGCCTTCGGCCATGATTTAGCCCACCGGTTCAAGTTCCACAAAAGTAGACAAGGCCTCAAGTCCCCGTTGCAATAAGTCACGTGGAAGTTCACCTTGCACGTACGAACGGACCTACTGGTAGTCCAGTTGGTACACCCCTGCGCTGTTGAAATACAGACCCAAGTTCGAATCCAGAAGCTCACTCACGTAGCTCAGATTTACCTCGCCACCACCAACACACGGAGGACGTAGCACGACGCACGTGCAATGTAGCTGAAAATCAGAGAGCAACACAAAGCAACACGTTCCGGAAAGCAGGTAGCACGGATTTCACGAAGCACCAAGCACAGAGAACGTAGCGCTAGCAAATCGAGAACCTCTCTCTCTCTCTCTCTCTCTCTCTCTCTCTCTCTCTCTCTCTCTCTCTGTGTGTGTGTGTGTGTGTGTGTGTGTGTGTGTGTGTGTGTGTGTGCGTGTTGTCGTATTCGCTATACACTCAAAAACAGCATGACTGCCGAACCGACTGTTTCGTCAGCATGCGTGTGGGCCTCGCCACACCACTCTCGAAATGTGGAAAAGACAAAAATGTGGCGGGTGCATCTGGCTATGTTGTGCGACGAAGTTAATTCTCATTTTGCGCATTTCGAGAGTGGTGTGGCGATGCCCTGTGTGTGTGTGTGTGTGTGCGTGTGCGCCCGCGCGTGTGCGAGGACGTCTTTTGTCATGAGATTTATCCACGTCTGGTCAAAAATGTTGTCAGATTCATTTAAGAAAGTGCTAATGTGAGTAGCGCTGAGTCTGCGTGCGCGTGCGTCTGCCCTAGGTAGGCAGAGAGACAGAGAAAAAGAAACGCCCTTAGGGACATCCGTCAAAACTGGAACGATACAGAGAAGGTTAGCATGGCCCCTGGGCAAGTATGACACAAATAAATGGAGTAAGGGAATATGACAAAAAAGAAGGTGAAGTTCTTGAAATGCCGCTGAAAATTTGGGCTATCTCGTCAGATACCCCAAAAAGGCATGGGTGTGGCGAGATGCCCCTATGACACTGAGGAAACTTTGGGAAATATCCCAATAGCCAATTGGACCCGCCATCTTGTGCATATATCACTACCCGGCCCTGTACGATTGTCCATACCGATGGCAGTGGAAACTTTTGCAAATGTCCCTATTGGAGGCTGCCAAGATTTATGTTTGCCCCTGTAGCCATTGAAGATTAGCATGGCCCCTAGGCAAGGATGACACAAATAAATGGATAAGGGAATATGACAAAAAAGAAGGTTAAATTCTTGAAATGCCCCTGAAAAGTTGGGCTATTTTGTCAGATACCCCAAAAAGGCATGGGTGTGGCGAAATGCCCCTATGACACTCAGGAAACTTTGGGAAATATCCCAATAGCCAATTGGACCCGCCATCTTGTGCATATATCCCTACCCGGCCCTGTATGTCCATATGCCCCTGTGTTTCTGCCATCCGGCCCATGGCAGTGGAATCTCTTGCAATTGCCCCTATTGAAGGATGCCAAGATTTATGTTTGCCCCTGTAGCCGTTGAAAGCCTACTGAGTCCACCTT